CATTGTGGCCATTTGGGGAGTGAACCAGTGAATGGAAGATATCTCTCTCTCTCTCTCTCTCTCTCTCTCTCTATCTATCTATCTTTTCCTTTCCCTTCCTCTCTTTCGTTCTATTTCTCTATAACTCTGACTTTCAAATAAATAAATAAATCTTTAAAAAAATCAAATGAGTACAAGTCTCCAATAATCATATTAAAATATATGATACAAATGAAAGGACTAAGAGTCAAAGGGAGCACATAAACAAGTCTAGTACCTGCTAATACTAACCGATCGAATAAATAAAGGGGAGAGTGATCCAACATGGGAAGCGAGATACTCAGCAGACTCATAGAATGGCAGATGTCCTAAACAGCACTCTGGCCTCAGAATCAGCCCTAAAGGCATTCAGATCTGGCTGAAAAGCCCATGAGAGTATTTCAGGCATGGAAAGCCAAGACACTCTGGAAAAAAAAAAAAAAAAACTAAATGAAAGATCTCTGTGAGTGAGATCCCAGTGGAAAGAACAGGTCTTCAAAGAAGGAGGTACCTTTCTCTGAAGGGAGGAGAGAACCTCCACTTTGACTATGACCTTGTCTAAACAAGATAAGAGTCGGAGAACTCAAGGGGCTTCCATAGCCTTGGAAACTCATGTCTGGTGCATAGGGAGATTACTGATGCTATAAACAGGAGTGTCAATTTGTAAAGTCAACAACAGGAGTCACTGTACATTTACTCCTCATGTAGGATCTCTGTCCTTAATGTGCTGTACATTGAGACTTAATGCTATAATGAGTACTCAAACAGTATATTTCACTTTGTGTTTCTATGTGGGTGCAAACTGTTGAAATCTTTACTTAATGTATACTAAACTGATCTTCTGTAAAAAAAAAAAAAAAGAAGAAGAAATTATCAATTCCCAACTTGACTCTCACTGGGATTAAACATGACAATAGGTCTGATCTGATTTCATCATCATTTAAAAAATCATCGATTATTTTTCACTTTATGTTTCTGTGTGGGAGCAAACTGTTGAAATCTTTACTTAATATATGCTAAACTGATCTTCTGTATATAAAGAGAATCAAAAATGAATCCTCATGTGAATGGAAGGGGACAGGGAGTGGGAAAGGGGAGGGATGCGGGTGGGAGAGACGATATGGGGGGGAAGCCATTGTAATCCATGGGCCGTACTTTGGAAATTTATATTCATTAAATAAAAGTTAAAAAAAATAAATTAGATTATAACATGTTTGCACCAAAGTAAGCTGACCTTTTTTAAAAAAAGATTTGTTTATTTACTTGAAAGGCAGAGTTAGAGAGGCAGAGGCAGAGAGATAGAGATAGATAGATACATAGATAAATAGTTGCAAAGATAGATAGATAGATAGATAGATAGATAGATAGATAGATATTCAGTCTTCCATCCACTGATTCACTCCCCAGATAGACAAAATGCCTGGAGATGCAATCAGAAGCCAGGAGCCAAGAGCTTATACCAGGTCTCCCACGTTGTATAAGAGCCCAAGGACTTGGGTTATCTTCTACTGCTTTCCCAGGCCATAGCAGAGAGCAGGGTCGGAAGTGGAGCAGCCGGGACTCAAACAGGCACCCTTATGGGATGCCAGCTTTACCTGTTATGCCACAGCTCTGGCCCCATAATCTGATCTTTTGATTTTGTTTTCCAAGATATTTTGAGGCCCCTAGTGTATCTCAGTGGTTGCAGGGGAGGGAGACCTCCTCACTTGCCTGGACCCTCAGGCGTGGACGTGGATGCCCATTCTGAGCAGGGTTGGGCAGGGGTCCCAGGCCACGAGGGCTCTGCCTCTGACCTCTGGGCGGGGCTGGGCAGACCCTGATCCTTTGTTGGGCTGAGAACATCTGGGCAGATGGCAGCCAGAAGGAGGAGCATCCACCAGGGCTCTGCTCAGCAGGTTGCCTGGTCACAGCTCAGCCCACCAGCCAGGTGATGCTGGTTACAGATGGCAAAGAAAACTTTAAGATTTTATTTATTTGAGAGGCAGCATTTCAGAGAATGAGAAGGAGAGTCAGAAAGAAAGTTCTTCCCTCCACTGGTTCACTCCCCAAATGGCCACAAATGCTGGAGCTGGGCCAGTCCGAAGCCAGGATCCAAAAATTCCTCTGAGTCTACCGTGGGGTTGCAGGGACCTAAGCATTTGGGCCATCCTCCACTGCTTTCCCAAGCCATAGCAGAGAGCTGGATCAGAGGACAAGCAGCCAGGACTCAAACCACTGCCCATATGGGATGCCTGCACTGCAGAGGGAGGATTAACCTGCTGTGCCACAGCGCCGGCCCCCACAAGGAAAATGTTTAAAGTTGAAACAAAAATGCCACTCTGTGTATGTGTGTGTGTGAGTGTGTGGCTGTGTTTGTGTGTGTGGAGGGGTGGGGAATGGGGTGCAGGGTCTCCCTGCAGCTCGAGCCCCTCCCTCCCCTAGGAAGTTCCTGGTATCAGGAGGTGCAGGGCTCCTGTCCTCCTGCATCTGCTCCCAGCTGTGACAAGAGCTGCAGGAATCTACTGTGTGTAGTTCAGATCCTGACACTAAATAGTCATGGACTGAAATTTAGTTTCTTCTGAGATTTCCTGAAAGTTCCCTAGGGTCTCTCAGCCTTGGGAAGTCTTGGTGCTGGGCAGGCAGGTGGTGGCTGAGGGGGAGGGGCTGAGGCACTGTGAGCTCTAAGCAGGCTGTGCTGCAGCCACTCCCAGGGCAGCTGTGGTGCTGTCTCTTGCCCTGTGCTCCTGCTGACAACAGGGAGCGAGGTCCACAGGGCAGGGCACTCCCTGACCAGGCTGTTTCTGCAAGCTTTCACTGTAGATGGTGGAAGGAGACGCAGGGGCTGGCTCTTCTGGCTGGGAGGTCCTGGTGGGCCCCAGGACCAGGGCCTCTGCAGTGGCTGCTGCACCTGTGCCAGCTCTGCTGCTCCTCTGGTCTCCTGGGAGCCCACTGCCTCCTTTGGATTTGGATTTCTGGGCCCCCAGCATGGACCCAGAAGCAGGGGTTGTGGCTTTGAGGGCAGCTCACAACAGGTGCAAACCTGGGAGGGAGATTTACCAATTGCTGGGGTCTCTGGAACTCTGAAGCTTCTGGAGCTGCTGAATTTAGAGACGTTGGAGGAAGTCACAGCCAGAAGCACAGGGGAGCAGGTGAGCTGGCTGTGAAACACCTGTGGGTGAGGAAGAGGGAAGCAGGGAGCAGGGAGGAGAGAGGAGCTGAGAGGGTGGTGGGGCTCAGGGCAGTGGGGGAGGGGTGGCTGAAGAAGTCTCATCCAGGAAGAACCAGGACGAGGTTAGTGAGCACTGAGCCTGTGTTCATTTCTTTGGTTTCCATTTCTCAAATGTGCACTAGGCCAGGCCCTGCTCTGACTGCATTAGTGACTGTACTGACACAGAGTCAGGAACCTCTCCCTGCAATCCTGGGGAAAGACGCTGTTACATTTGCAGATGAGGGAACGGAGGCCCAGAAACTCCAGGGCTCTGCCCTCAGCTGTGACCCAGAGTGGCTGAACCTGCAGGGAGCACCCCGGGGTGGGGGGCCCTGAGCCTGTTCTTCCCAGGAGGAATGGCTGCCTCCTCTTCCTGTGCACAACCAGTGGGTGGTGTGGGATCATTTCCTCTGATCAGGGACCATTTTCTCTGCGGCAATGCATCCCACTGGGGCCTTTAAATGTTAGTGCAGAAATCTTTTAATGTGGAGAGTGTGAGGATTCACCTGTCAGCAGGAACTGGACGCAGACACCTGCTGAACCCAGGGCAAGGACCTGGGCCCCGGGAGTATGAGGCTGGGGGTGGGCTCAAATTTAGGTGAATGCCACAGCCACAGATGCCACAAGTCTGGGCTCCTGGAACAGCCGCACAGGCTCGGTGAGGAGGGGTCTGTCTCTGACGCTTCTCAGGGACACCCAGGCCACTTCTGGAGGTTAAAGAGCTGCAGTCAAGTAGGAGGTGGTGTGTCCTTCAGGGTGAGCGGCCTGAATCAGGGTCTCTGTCCTGGTGGGGGTGGGTCCTGTGCACACTGTGAACATTAGCATGGTTTCCTCCATGGGGCCCCTGGGGCTGAGAAGGAAAAGACCTGATTATCTAGGCAGAGGAACTCAGTTGGGATGGGAAGAGAAGGGGCTGTTTCTCCCTCAGGCTGCCCTAAGAGTTCTCATTCACCATACTCTTCCCCGAAGGGCTGGGTAGAGTCAAGGCCCAGCTGTCTGTGCTGTCAGGATCCTGTGGGGACACCTTGTTGCGGGCTGAGGCTTGTATGGAAAGTTTTGCTTCTGTTAGGGCTGACAGGGCGGCCCTGGCACTGTTTCCTGAAAGAGGGGCTGGTGCTCTGCTGTGTCCCTGTCTCCTGCCTGCCGCCTGCTGACCCAGACTTCCTCCTCTCCGCCTCTCTCCCCAGCTCTGAGGACATGGAGCACGGCTGCCGCCCTTCTCTGCTCTGCAGTCTCCCCTCCCTGCTTCTCCTCACCCAGCTGCCCACGTGGGGCTCTGCAGGTGAGTGTGTCCCTGACTCATTCTGGGTCTTCTTCCAGGGGTGAGAGGAGCCTCTACACTCAGTCAAGACAGGGTAAGGTTTGCAGAGCCCCAGGATCTAGAAAGGTGGTGGTGCTGCCCCAACCACTGGTTGTCGTTAAGAAGTTAGGATGCATCACTAGGTGACCCAGTGAGTGATAGGGATCTTGACCGTTGTCTAAGGATTTTGGGGGGTGGTTTAATATCAAGCGTCAATAATTTGACAACCTCTCCCTTCATTTTTGGAGGTCTGAGCATTCATTTGTTTACTTATTTGTTCCCCTAATATTAACAGAATGTCAACTGTGTGTTCTATGACCGTGACCATGACCATGACCACAACAGATGTGTGTGTCTCTGCCCCCTGCCTGTGTCTCTCCAGTGTTCTCAATCTATTCTGTGTCCACAGACAAGTTCCAGGTGATTGGCCCCTCAGAACCCATTGTGGCAGAGTTGGGTGGTGATGCCATTCTGCCCTGCTCCCTGGTCCCAGCCATGAACGCAGAGGACATGGAGCTACGATGGTTCCGCACCAAGTTCTCAGAGGTGGTGTTCATGTATCAGAACCACCAGGAGCAGCACAAGGAGCAGATGCCCCAGTACGCAGGGCGGACCTCGCTGGTGAGGGACCTCTTCACCCAGGGGCAGGCTGCCGTGCACATCCAGAATGTCCAGGCTTCAGACAATGGGATGTATGTCTGCTTCTTCAAAACCAGAAGCTACTATGAAGAGGCCATTCTAGAACTGCAGGTGGCAGGTGGGTGACCTGATCTGTATTCTAGATCTGGACCTTGGGAGTGCTGGACTTGGGAGGAAACTCATGTAAAAAACATCTCATTTCATATGTGAGGGAGGACAGCTCATTCACTCATTGATGTTATCAATATAAATCTTGTGCATGGAGCCCCTAGTGTGTCAGGCGGGTTTACTCACACATCTTTGGTGTGGGCATGGAAGTAAAACCAAAACCAAAGTTTTCTCCCAGAATTCATCTTTGCAAACATGGTAGGGAAACACAAGTGTTTCATGGCCGAATAAGCACCAAACCAGAACATGAGACACATCACAGGCAGTCCATTAAGGGACTGTACAAAGAATCTCATTGTTTTTTTACTTAGTCAATCAGATGTAACATGAATTCCATTTTAAAAAGATTTTTATTTAGTTTTACTTATTCAAATGAGCAACAGAGAATGATAGAGATGGAGACCTTCCATCTGCTGGTTCACCATCTGAACGCCAACAAAAGCACCAATGGCACAAGTGCTTTCCAAGCCTCTGCTTCATTCAGGCTAAGCCACTCTCTCAGTGTGGAAGTCGGGGCACATGGCCAACCTCAGAGAGTCAATGTGAAGGAACCACATGATGAATGATAGAGGGCTCACTCCATATAAAGATGGGCAAAGTATAGGAGTTATTTTAATAATATGTATTAAGTTCTGAAAGTCTGATTTTCTAGTGTAGGTAAGAAAACCTGACAGAGTTGGAGGGGCATAAGAGAAGGGGGTGAGGAGACAGGATTATTCATTGCTATAAATTTGGAACTGATTTACAGAGAGAGGCAGTGGGAATCCTAGCAGGTGCCCCAGGAGTGAGTGAGGTGAGGAGATTAGAGGTTCAGGATGGAGTCCTGGGGTCAAGTTCCTGCTCCTGGTTTCTCTGGGCCTCAGTCTTCCCATCTGCACAGTTGAGGAGAAAGCCCCCTACTCTGTGCCCCCATGGGTCCCAGGGCTCTTTCCCCTCCTTCAGGCCACGCCCTCCCTCCCATGGAATCTCCAGAATGGAACACAGTGACTCCCCTGTAGCTGTACCACACCCACACCCTGCTGAGGCCCTGGGCCAAGTGGTCCCCAAGGTCTCCACAGCTCCCCTCTTGCAGGCCTGGGCTCTGCCCCTCAAGTGCACGTTGAAGGGCCGGAGCAGGACGGGGTCCGCGTGGTGTGCAAGGCCTCGGGCTGGTTCCCAAAGCCCCAGGTGCAGTGGACAGACCTCAGCGGGAAGAAGTTCCCGGAGTTCTCTGAGGCCCATGCCCAGGACGCAGCAGGGCTGTTCAGCGTGGAGGCGGCTCTGGTGGTGAGAGACAGCTCTGCAGGGAGTGTGAGCTGCTCTGTCCTCAATCCCATCCTGGGCCAGGAGAAGGCGATGGCCCTGTCCATCCCAGGTCGGTGCTGCTTCTCATTCCTGGAAGGGCTTGGGAGGTGGTGCCGGCATCCCTGAGTGTGCGGGGTGGGCCTGGGTGCTCCCCTGACTGGTCTCTACCTGGGCCCCAGAGCCCTTCTTCCCACAGGCCTCTCCCTGGAAGGCAGCTTTTGCTGGGATCCTGACGGTGCTGGGGCTCCTGCTCTTTGGGGCTGGCTGCTTCACCAGGAGAGAGCACTCTGCAAAGGTGCAGGAGAGAAAGAAACAGGAGAAGCTGCGCTGGGATAAGGAGGAGGACCAGCGGGCAAAGGAGGAGGCACTGAAGGCCAGAGGTAGGAGGCCAGGGGCCAGGCAGGGGGGCAGCTGGTGCTGAGAGGAAGGATGCTGGGAGATGAGTCTGTGGGTTCTGCTCTCCAGAGCAGGTGGCTGTGGAGACCCAGACAGGACAGCTGGAGGCTGGAGCTGTGGGTGTGTCTGGAGTAAGAACTTCTCTAGGATATATATTTTTTTCTAGGATATATATTTCCTGTGGGTTCTCCAAACACACGGTCTCTCCTTTTCTTATGAATGGGAGTTCATGATGCTTCTCTCTCTTTCAGATGAGCTCCAGGCAGAACTCGGTAAGCTCTGCTCCCCTCCTGAACTCTCCGTGTCCGTTTGTGGAGGAAGCTCTGGGTCTCAGATCACCTGTTCCCTGTGTGCTGCTTTTCAGGTCAGAGGAAGGCAGCTTACCTGGCTGGTGAGTGACTCTTCAGATGTCCCCTTGTCCTGTCCCACCTGTGCCCAGCTTTCCCCTCCTTGTCTCTGTCCAGCACAGACATGTGGACCCTCATTGGGTGCAGCAGTGGCAGTGGTGGTGGCAGAACCTGCTCCCTGGGCTCTCTCACATCTGGGTGACTGTTTGCAGTCTGTGCTCCAAGACAGGTGTGCAATGATGGGCATGGAGTCTGCCTGCATCCTGGGTCTCTCTCCAGTCCAGGCCTGTGCCCTATATGAGAATTGTTAGTGTTTATCCTCCAAAGCTTTAGCTCTTGACTGTACCAAAGGCATATGCCAGAAGCTGTGAGAGTTCAAGACAGGAGGGAGAGAATCAAATGAGGTCATTGAGTTTGGGGGTGTGATTTCTGCCCCCTCTCTCCCTTCTAAGACACCACCAGGTGGCATCATTCCTATCCTGCTCCTCAAAGGTGCTTGTGTAAAATGAATGTCAGAAGACATGGCTGCTCACCAGGTGTGGAGATGTGATGGGATGAGCTGAGTGCTTCTCAGAGTAGGAGTGCTTCTCTCTAGAGTATTTTATTCTAAAGTTGTTGTGGTATAGCTGTTAAACATCTGTCTGCAATTCAGGCATCCCAGATGAGGGCCGATTTATGTCCTGGCTGCTCCACTTCTTCCAACTACCTTTTAATGTTCCTAGGAAAGCAGTGGAGATGGCCTAAGTACTCGGGCTCCTGCACCCACTTGAAAAACCAGGAATATGCTCCTGGTTTTTGCTTTGCCCTGGTCCAGCCCTGGCTTTGAGGCCATCTGGGGAGAAAACCAATGGATGGAGGATTCTCTCTTTCTCTCCCTCTCCCTCTCTGTAATTCTTCCTTTCAAATTAATAAGTATATCTTTTTTTAACAAACATTTTTTCAGGGAATGTTTGGCCCCTTAGACTCTGGAGTTGGCCTTATATCCATGTTATTTCTTCTTCCTCCTTTAGTTTCCCTGCCAGGAAATGCTATACATTAATTAACTACTATCAACATGGAGTAAATTCCTTTTCTCACACTATTTTCACACAGATAGTTTTCGGTCCTGACCAACAGCAACTAGGAGCCAGGAACACAGGAGTGTTTGTGGGTTTTGAAGCACAGGGCAGAGAGCTGACACCCAAAAGTCACCAGCAGTGGGGCAGGGTGCAACTCAGCTGTCCTGCAGGCTTCCTGATCTGTGGTCAGGGAGTTTCCCACAATCCTCTGCTGTCTGCACCTGCAGGAGGCCCCTCCTGTACAGCCCCTCTCCTCCTGCAGAGTCTGACCTTCAGCACAGAGGGCAGGCGAGGGCTGAGCAGGTGGTGTGGCTGTGGTCTCACCAGGGTGTGTTTCCTTTCAGCCTGGAGGAAGGCGCAGCTGTATGCTGGTAAGTGATGCTGATGGCTCCTCTGCCTCCCTGCCCTGCCTCTGCCCTGCCCCTTCTCTACCTGTGGACTCAACCCCAGATGGGCTGGGCGTCCTGCTCTCCTTGTCAGTGTTGTAGCCTCCAAGAGAATACAGCAGGTGCTGCTCCATGGGACCACAGCCCTGCTTCCATTCTGGGCCCTTTGTCCTCTGTATATCATGGTTAGGGTTAACGACACCTTCTTAATCCTTTTGTTCAACTGACCCTTGTCATTGGCGGGGTGACCACAGAGAGTTCAGGTGTGAGGAAAGCCTGCAGCAGGACAACAACTGTGTAGTTCAGGAAGCGCCGGTCTCCTGAATACTCTGGGAATTATGCTGCTCAGGACCCAGAGTTTACTAAGAGGGGAATGAGATCTATGTTCTTCTTACCCCCAAATTCCTCCCTTTAAGGCCCACTTTGGTCCTCCTGGCCCTGGAATATGGTCTTCTCTGCTTCTTCGTGCTGACTGCTGTCCAGCCTGGGTTTCTTCCTCTAAGTATCAGTGGTTTCTGAGGAGTTAGTTACTCTGAGTAAATGTTCTAAATTAGAGAACGATCATCTGGCATGCTTATGGAGAAATTCCTGGGTTGGGTTCTCTGTTATATCTGAAATTGTGTGCAACATTTGTGTCCTCTGAGCAAGAATAGAAAACTTTAAATTTATTTGACTTGTGATGTTGCTGTGGTGTATAACATTAAGCCACCATCTGCAGTGCCAAAATCCCCTATGGACACAGGTTTGAGTCCCAGCTACTCCATTTCTGATCCAGCTCCTGGCAGATGTACCTGGGAAAGGGGCCCAAAGTAGTTAGGCCTCTTCACCCATGTGGAAGACCAGATAAGATCTTGGCTCCTGGCATTGAATCAGCCCAGTTCTGGCCACTGTGGCCATTATGGAGGTGAACCAGAGGATGAAAGATCCCCCCACCCTTGCCGTGTGTGTGTGTGTGTGTGTTTCTCTCTCTCTTTCTTTGTAATTCTGCTTTTCAGATAAAAAAGAGAATTCTTTTACAAAATGTATTTCACATGCAGAGAGTGAGAGCAAGAGCAAGAGATATTCAGTCTCCTATTTTGCTCCCTAGCTGCTAGCAAGAGCCATGGCTAGGCAAGGCCAAAGCCAGAAGCTGGGACCTCAGTCCAGGTTCCCACATGCATGTCAGCAACTCAGCCCTCAGTGCTGCATTAGGGTCTCCATTGGCCAGAGGCTGGAGTCTGTAGCCTGAGCTGGGGATTGACCCAGATTCTTCAGTGTGGGTGTGGGTGTTTTAATCACTAAGCCAAATACTTGCCATGTTTTTAAAAAATATGTTTTTTTGAGTAAGAGTGAGAGAGGGAGTAAGGGAGAGAGGGAGAGAAGGAGAGAGGAAAAGAGAGAAAGAGGGAGAGAGAGAAAGGAACTCTCATTGGCTGTTTCATTTCCCAAATATCTGCAATGGCCTGGGAAGTTTTGAACTGTGCTGGAGCCAATGTCAGGAGCTGGAAACCAATCTTGTTCTCCCACGTGATTGGCAGGAACCCAAACTGATGCATCACTTACTGCTTCCAAGGATGAGCTTTGGCCAGAAGATGGAATTAGGAGCTGGAGCTGTGATTCGAACCCAGGCACTCTGACATCAAGTGCATATGTCTTAGCGCCTGTCTTTGCTGGAAGACCGAATCCTTGCCCCTGAGTAGGGGTGTGTGTGTACGTGTGTGTGTGTGTTTACAAGAACAAAAAATGTAATATGTGATTGTTCATTACCATTTTCTCACACCTCAGAAGAATGCTGTATTTAACAGCTCAGGCCCCTGTTTGATTCTTTAGAGGTGATATATAAAGACTGGAAAAGGAGAAACATAGAAAAGTAGAAATTGCTACCTAGAAAAAGGACGGCAAGCATACCATGTGAGAAAAGAACGTGTGGGGAAGAGAAGAGGAGATGAGGGAGAGAGTGAGTGCTGTGCAGGTGGCTCAGAGTGACTGCAGTGGCTGAAGGCCCAGCCCTGGTGTTGGAATGTAGAAGTGTGTGGAGGGTTTACAGGGCTTGGGTGTGTGAGACAGAATTGATTCCTAATACCTTGTGGATAAATTTCAGGAAAAATCTAAATTAAAGCGTATTAAAATTTGAGAGAGAGAGAGAGAGAGAGAGCAAGTCCTTTCATCCCCTGGTTCATTCCTTCAATCCTTCAGCCATCGCTGCTGCCTCCTCAGTCTATAATGGGAGGAAGTTAGAGTCCAGAGCTGAGCTAACTCTGGCATGGAGCCGATATCACAAAAGGAACTGTAAGAGGTTGGACAACAGCCCACATAGCTGCAGCCAGAGGTCAGGATGCTTGTGTGTAGGCTCTTATGATCAATGGAACAAACCCGGCAGCTCAAGATGACCATGGATGCAGACCTTCACATCCCACTGCGAATCATGGATGCTCTTTCACTTCACAAATAATGCTCCAAAGTGGAGTGTGAGGGACTCCTGTTCATTACTGACAATATATACTCTTAAAGATGGGATAGCATTTGGTAGGCTGGCTATCTTGTCCCAACACTTAAAATCTCTTATATGACTGGGAAAGTAATTTACTTGTTCTAAATAAATCAGACAATTCTCCTTCCCTACTATCCTCCTCTCCAAAGTTTGGTAGTGCCAAGAAATTCACAGGCATTAGGTCCTTCGTGTCAGCTCAGATTTTGGGAAGGTTCTCAAGCTCCTAAGCAAAGGTGACCAGGATCCCAGGGTGACTGAGGAGAGAACAGAGACCTGTACATGAGGCCACTTTTCATGGGGGACTTGGCTTCTTGCAGCTTCTTGTTAAGTGGGGATGTAGCATAGACTCTGGGGGCCACAATGGAAACCTTCCAGTTCATTAGCAGCCCTGGAAGGCCACCTTCACTGTCTCAAATTCCTACTCAGTGGAACGAGCAGAGGAACATAAATTTTAAAACTGTCAATGATAATGGAGAAAATGTAGCAGAGCTGGCACAGAGGTTCTTTAAGCAGAACATTTCACAGGTTATCCAAAGGACTGGGTATGAAGGAAATGATGTGGAAGGTCAGGAAACCTTAGCATTTCCAGGTCGTGTGCCTGGCCTTAAGGGTGATGTGGAAATGCTGAGAAATCTGCAGAGGTTGGAGTAATCCATGTGAGTGAGTATGATGATGGTGGATCAGCATCTGTGCTTAAAGCTGCTGCACAAGGTCACACAGAGTCTGCAGTGGTTCATTACAGAGGAGCAGACAGTGACATCACCACAAAGCAGGGGACCCAGTGATGTGGCCACGAGGTTTGCCCATCTGGCAGCAGTGAAGCTGTTAAAGGGGCTACAGAAATATCATATAGAGGATGTGAATGAAATTGATATTAATGAGATTGATATGAGATTTTTATAAGACATGATGTTGAGGGAAGCACTGATGCCAAGGATGACTGATGTCTCAGGGAGTAGTATAAAACAGATGTCATGATGACAGATTATAAGAAAATTGTAGAATTGAGCACCTTCTGGAAATTGCTCTGAGTAACCGTAAACACATTGGACAGATAACAGAAGAAACGTTAAAGCAGTTTAGTTGACAACTAATGTCTTATTGAAAAAGAAGGAAATGAAGTGTTCACTCTCTTCCAGAGGTCACATGGACCAGCCCCACCATTTTGTGTGATTTTGTTTCCTATCAAGCAAATCAACCCAGGTAGCAATGCCAATTTCTATGAATGCACCTGTGCAGGTGTGGATGGTGGAAAAAATTTATCACCACAGGAGAAGTGCATTTTATTTATTACTGTCAACCTCCTAATCCTGTGCCTGTGTCCACTGCTCCCATGCTGCCTTCCCTGTGCCAGGCAGGTAAAGCTCTCTCAATGAGGACTCCTCAGACTCTGACTGTGGATGGAGTCTTTGGTCAGCACCTGCCTCTCTCCTCCCCAGGGATGAGCAAGCAGATGGAGGAGATGCAGAGGCATTGGGGAGCTTGGGGAGGGGCTTAAGGTGCTCTCCTTTGAGTCCTCCCAGTTGCTCATGCTGGGGAGGTGGGGCTCAGATGGTCCTTGAGCACCTGTGTTGTCAGCTGAGGAAGGGCAGGGGCAGTTCCTATCCTGTCTTGGGGCAGTGTTGGCGGCTATGCTCCATGACAGTAGAGTTCATGGTCTGGGTGACTTGGTTTTGAATGGAAAATTGATGCACTGTGTGGCTGTTCCTCCTACCCTAGACCTTCCCTTGCCCACTGGTTCTCTGGGCCCCTCTGAGTCCCCCCATGTCCCACCACAGTGTGTGGGAATTTCTGGGTAATGATTTTCCCTGTGCAGGTGACAGGAGTCCTCATGCTCTCTCCAGATACCTTCTCCTGCCAGTTCCCCTCCTCCATGCTGGGCATAGCTCCTGAGCACCTGTGATCACAGCAGGTATCTGTTGACATAAGAAGACCTCAGCCTTGGTGGCTTCCACTGAATGCTGACTGTCTTACAGCTCTGAGGGTCAGAAGGTGGAGACAGGACTCACTGGGCTAAAACCCATGCAAGTCTGCATCCCCTCTGCCAATACTGGAATCTCCAGCATCGGAACCCACTTGCACACCTGAGTTCATGCCCCATTCCTCTGTCTTGAAGCCAGATGTAGGCATCTTTCGGACTCTGGTCAGCTCCTCATATAAGTTTCTCTGGCACACACAGGTTGGCAGGTTCTGTGCTTTCAGGGTTCCCATGATTAGATTGGGCTCACCTGGATCATCCAGTGAACTCTACTACCTTCAAGGTCCTTAACGTTTCTCCTATCTGCAAAGCTCCCTTTCCTGTTTGGTGACGGAGTCACAGGTTCTAGGAATTAGCACACTGATATCTCTAGAATCATCCTCCAACTTCATTTCATCCAGTAGTAACCGCCTCTCTCCACCTAGGATACAGGAAGCATGCAAGTTCAGCTCAGTCAGTGCTTCTGATGTTCATGGAGGCACTGGAAGTTTTGATCTCCAAATTTATTCTTCTTTTAAAGATTTATTTTATTTTATTTGAAAGTCAGAGTTTCAGAGTTACAGAGAGAAAGAGAGAGAGAGAGAGAGATCTTCTATCTGCTGGTTCACTTCCCAAATGACTGCAATAGGTAGAGCTGAGCTGACTTTAAGCTAGGAGCCAGGAGCTTCTTCTAAGTCTCTCACGTGATCTCAGAGGCCCAAGGACTTGGGCCATTTTCTACTGCTTTTCCAGGTCATAGAGTAGAGCTGGATTGGATGCAGAGCAGCTGGGGATCAAACCAGCGCCCATATGGGATGCCAGGGCTGCAAGCATGGCTTTAACCTGCTGTGCCACAGAGCCAGTCACCCCAATATATTCTTACGAAAACCTAGCTTCCATGATGATGTGTATCTAGGGATGTGAGAAGCATAATTTGAGAGTGAAATCTGGGAGATGCCTTTTCTGTTTGGTCAGTGGCCAGCCTCTCAGTCTCTGGTGTTGAGCTTTATGGCTTGGGGAGACTGTCGTGTGTGTGTATGTGTGAGACACAGTCCATCAGCTGGATGTCTCCCACACATTTCCCCCATCGCTGTTTCAGAAGAGCAGGTGCTGGGCTGACCTGTGCAGTCTGTGCAGACCCCTGATACGTAATGTGTGTTTCTCTTGTAGACTGGCGGAAGGAACGGTTCCAGGCCTGTGAGTGACTTTGTGTTCTTTCTGGGTGCTCCTCCCTGTGGCCCCCATGGCTCTGGCCTCTGCTTCAGTTCTCTGTGCTGGTGCAGATGCTGGCACCATCAGTGGTGGTGGGGTGGGGGCTGAGGTGACAGGAGCAAAGCCAGGCTGGTCATCAAGGTCTCTGTGACTATGTGATCTCAGAGAGGTCTCCTGGTTTCTCCTCCTGCCTGGAGGCCACAGGCTTGCATCCCAGGGCCCTTATCTCAGGGGTCTTGCCCCTCCCTAATTCAGTTGGGTGGGTCTGAGGATGGTTATGCATCCTTCCTCAGGGTCCAGAAGTGGCCCTGGATTATTGCAAACTCTCTCTGCAGGGACTGTCACTCTGGATCCAGGCTCTGCCCATGTCAACCTTCTCATATCTCCGGAAAAGAAGAGCGTGACCTGGAAGTACAGTGGTGTAGGCTCGTATCACACCTGCAGGGTGTTGGGCCTTGAGGGCGTCACGTCAGGAAGATGTTACTGGGAGGTGGAGATAAGGAGTGGGGCCTTCAGTAAGTGGGCTGTGGGGGTCTGTAGGGAGCATGTGCAAAGGACAGGCACTTATACAGAGTCCCCAGATAAAGGGTTTTGGGTTGTGGGGTGGTATCATGGTAGCTACTTTGCCTGGCCTAAGCCTCAGCAGATTCTATCCCTTAGGCAGCATCCCTGCAGAGTGGGGATTTTCCTGGACTACAGTGAGGGGGACGTCTCCTTCTACAACATGACAGATGGCTCCCACATTTTCTCCTTCCCCCCAACTTCTTTCTCTGGAACCCTCTTTCCATACTTCATGCTTAAGAGAGACGTGACCCTGAGCATCTGCCCCACAGAGGGGGGCTCTGAGGGGCTCCCTGTGCCCCTTAGCAAGTATCCTTCTTTGGAGGAGGCTGTGAGGCCCCCAGGGGAGGGGCTCAGCTCAGGCTCTGGAGTGGATGGAGCTCCCCAAGGGGCTGAGTCTCCATTGCTGCCCTGAGCCCCACAGGGGCCCTCACTGCCCCTGACTCCTCAGTGAGACTCTTGCTGGGGCTGCAGGCTCCTAGGACAGAGCCTCTGGGGTAAGTCCTGGATGGCCTCAAAAATCTCCTCCTGTGGTTATCAGATTTGTTCACTCATGCACTGTGTTCAAAGACAAGATAAAAATTGATGCTGTTTGAACTCGTTTGGGATAGACTGAATTTTACTATGAAATTATTGTTACTGAAAAACTTAACAATAGCAAAGCATACAACCCAGTCAAGAAGTGGGCAAAGGTCTTAAATAGACATTTCTCAAAAAGGAAATCCAAGTGGACTACAGACACATGAAAAAATGCTCAAGATCACTACCCATCAGGGAGAAGCAATTCAAAACCACAATGAGGTTTCACCTCAGCCCAGTTAGAATGGCCTTTGTATAGAAATCAACAAACAACAAATGCTGGTGAGGATGTGGGGAAAAAGGTACCCTAATCCACAGCTGATGGGAATGCAATATAGTAAAACCACTACAGATGACAGTTTGGAGATACCTCAGAAATCTGAATTTAATCCTACCTAATACCCAGCCATCCCACTCCTTGGAATTTACCCAAAGGAAATGAAACCAGCAAATAAAAGAATCATCTGCATCTCCATGTTTATTGCAGCTCAATTCACAATAGCTAGGACTTGGAATCAACTGAAATGCCTGTCAACGGAAGACTGGATAAAGAAACTATGGGATATGTACTCTATGGAATACTACACAGCAGTTTAAAAAATCCAGTCATTTATAGCTAAATGGATGAATCTGGAAAATATCATACTTAATGAAATAAGCCAGTCCCAAAGTGACAAATACCATATGTTCTTCCAGATCTGTGACAACTAACAGAGTACCTAAAAGGAAACCTGTAGAAGTGAAATTTACACTATGAGAAGCAATTACTTGAACAGCCCTTGTCTTGACTGTCGAGGAACAGTTTATTTCATTTTATTTTTTAAATTCTTTTTCCTCTACTTAATACCATTGGTTAAACTCCTTACATAGAAATAATCATAGATGTATTAAGTCAATTAAAAATAGATCCTAGTTAAAAATAAGAGTGTGAATGAGAGAGGGAGGAGCTGTACAGATCAGCACACATTCCCAGAGACTTACCTGTAAGGGTGAAGCTAAAAACATGCCATGAGACCCCTAATCCTATTTAGCTAACTGGCATTAATCCCATCTTATGTGATAAAGTGATCATATTAAGTATGGAATTTATCATATAGATAGGACCATAAGTCTCGAGGATCGCATAAATAAGACCAAGTGCCTGGTAATAACAAGAGATAGAATTACAAAGGAGAGAAAGTTCCAACATGGGAAGCAGTCCACACAGCAGACTCATAGAATGACAAATGCCCTAAAAGGCACTCTGACCTCAGAATCAGCCCCTAAGGCATTCAGATATGGCTAAAACATCCATGAGAGCATTTCAGGCATGGAAAGCCAAGGCATAGTTGCAAAAACGGTTCTGCATGAACGGTTTCTGTGAGGGATACTCCAGTGGAAAGAAGGGGCCATCAAAGAAGGAGGTTACTTTCTTTGAAGGAAGGAGAGAACTTCCACTTTGCATATGGCCCTGTCAGAAAACCAGTGGAGTTTGTGAACTCATAAGGCTTCCATAGCCTTGGCATCTCATGTCAAGTTCCCTGGGTGATCATTGACATCATAAACAAGAGTGTCAGTTGTTAAATCAACAACAGGAGTCACTGTGCACTTGCTCCCCATGTTGGACCTCTGTTCTTAATGAGGTGTACTATGAGAAATAATGGTAAAACTAGTCTTCAAACAGTACTTTATACTTTGTGTGTCTGTGTGGGTGCAAACAGTGGAAATCTCTACTTAGTATAGAGTTGGTCTTTTGTATATAAACTCAATTTTTTTTTCTTTTTTTTTCTTTTTTTTTTGACAGGCAGAGTGGACAGTGAGAGAGAGAGACAGAGAGAAAGGTCTTCCTTTGCCGTTGGTTCACCCTCCAATGGCCGCCACGGCCGGCGCGCTGCGGCCGGCGCACCGCGCTGATCCGATGGCAGGAGCCAGGAGCCAGGTGCTTTTCCTGGTCTCCCATGGGGTGCAGGGCCCAAGCACCTGGGCCATCCTCCACTGCACTCCCTGGCCACAGCAGAGAGCTGGCC